AGGAGCAGGAGGAGAAGAAGAGGAGAAGGTGGAGGAGCAGAAGAAGAAGAGGAGGAGGTGGAAGGAGAAGGAGAGGAGGAGGAAGGAGGAGGAGGAGGAGGAAGAAGAAGAGGAAGACAAGGAGCAGCAGCAGCAGGAGGAGGAGGAGGAGGAGAAGAAGAGGAGGAGGAGGAAATTCTATTGTATATCATACAATTCAATTTACTAAAACAGTGAGGGAAGAGCACTTCTCTTAGAAGAATGAAACATTTTGAGAAATATTAAAAAAGGCAGAATATTATATTTCCCTAAAGGATGAATGGAGAAACATGCTCTTGGAGACAGAAAGAGACAGCCTTCACCTTCCTTAATAGCCCCCAGCAGATATTTTTTGCCCATTAAGAAAGACTGGGCCACCCTGTCTACAAAACAAAATACCTTCGGCTCCAGGATGATGGCATTAAGACATGACCTTCCAGGACATAATAGGATTATCTCACTAGCAACAGAGCTTATACTGCAGGATCTCCTAAGGACATTGCATCAGAGTCCAAACTTCAACCAAACCTGAGAGCTCAAACAACCTACAAAATTAGCTATGACCCTTACAGCAACCAATAGAGTACATGTTCTTGCACAGGAACAGGAAGCTCAAGTGCAAAGTCCAAGAGAAGGTATAATAATACAACCCACTCTCAACTCCATGTGGTCAGCTGCCCAGAATCACATGTGATTCTGCTTCATCAATTAATAAGCCTCTTTCCAATCAGCCTCTATGTTTCCAGTGTCTTTCTCTGAGTTTGGAACTGAACCAGATGGATATTTCTTCCTATAACAGTCAGGGTAATAAAAGTGAAATATGACAAAAAACTTACAACAGAGTCAAATGACTAAGCCTAGAGTAATCTAAAGGAGGAGGAGGAGGAGGAAGAAGAGGAAGAGAAAGAAGAAGAGGAAGAAGAAGAGGAGGAGGAGAGGAAGAGGAAGAAGGAGAAGGAGAAGGAGAAGGAGAAGGAGAAGAAGAAGAAGAAGAAAGGGGAAGAGGAAGAGGAAGAGGAGGAAGAGAAG